GCCCGGCTGCTGTGTGCCAGGCGAGGGGGGTGGCCGAGGCTGTTCCTCACGCCGCTGCTTTTTGGCGGTAGCCGGCGGCGTGGGCAGGTGACCGTCTCCCGGGTTTGAGGCATTGAAGTTGGGGTTCCGAGGCAATGAAACCTACCAAAAGTCAGCAGAGCTGGTGCAGGTGGGAATCTGAGCTTCTGTTTCAGTCCGATGTCCGGCCCTGGGCAAATCCGTCGTTCTGAAAGCCAAAGATCGATTTCCTGCTTAATTTTTAAGCGTTTATGTGCTTGCGACTCCAGGGGGAGTAAAGGAGTCTGTACTCTTAGGCTGAGTTTCGTTGTCTGTGACATTTTTTTTATGTCTGTGTCGGATAAAATGATTATAGGAAGCAAGTTTTTCTGATTGTGCCTCCCTTTTTGTGTGCATGGAACTGAAATCAACTTTATTTTTAGTGGGCTCACAAAGCCTAATATTTCTAAACGCTTTTAGTGATATTGGAACAAAAGAGATTATAGCAATACTTGTGTTAAAAGTGTAAATAATTCTTTAACTTGTAGGCTTGTGGGGTTATAGTGGAACTAATCAAAAGCAAGAAGATGGCTGGCAGAGCTGTGCTGTTGGCAGGACCTCCTGGCACTGGCAAGGTATTATTTTTCTTTATTTGATATGAAATAAAGTGTTCCCAAATCTATTTGATTTGTTGTCAAAAGTATTTTAGGGTAGTGGTTACAGAGTTTTAGAAATTAATTTTTTATCAAAAGCCTAAATAGTTCTTGCTTTGTTTAGTTTTTTCTCTGTGCTATTTAAAGCTTGTTGCATTTGTATCAGATGTCAAATTCAAATGTCCAGTGTTGTTTCTTTAAGGTGTTTTGTAAGTCTTTGATAAAAGCTACTTTTTATGTGTCTAACTTGTTTTGCGGTTAGGGGGGTTGTTATATGTGAGAAATATGTGTCAGACAGAGCAGTCTTAATACGCAAGTGACAGTTGATATGTGGAAGATGATGTGGTGAGGGAAGTTAATTTTGTGCAGAAAGAATCCTTTGTTAACTCATAAAAATTAATGTGTGGGTTTTGGTTTGTTTTTCTTCCTTTTTTTTTTTTTTTGGAAGACTGCATTGGCCTTAGCTATTGCTCAGGAACTGGGAAGTAAAGTTCCCTTTTGTCCTATGGTTGGAAGTGAGGTCTATTCCACTGAGATCAAGAAAACAGAAGTTCTAATGGAAAACTTCCGACGTGCAATTGGTAAGTTTCAGAAAAACAGAAGAATTAAGTATTGACGTGATACTTATCTTGCTTTTTCCCAGTCATCTAAAAAGGAAAAACTTCAGTGGTCATGGTGGTTTTCAGATCATGGTATGTTCTTTTTTTCAGTGCTGGTCTTAATTTAGTGAATCTCTTCCCTGCTTAGTGGATTTATTAAGGTTTTCTGTTAATAAACTGCAGTTTAATTGTTGTCTTATGGTTTATTCTACTTCCCCAGAGTCTCCTGTCATCTGCCAGGTTCATCTCCTGGTTTTGCCTGCGACTCTGAATAACACTGAAAGAAAAAATTTTTTATTTTCTTACATTAGCAGAAATACTTGTAGACAGCAAAATGTTCTCTCCTTTCTTGTTTTAGTGATTTCATCCTACTAAGCAAACAGTCTTAATCAGGGACTCCCAAATAGCAATGTTAGCCTGACTTAGTGTTCCAGTGAGCACAAATACGCCAACAAAATAAATACTTTACCTTGATGTCTTCCTCACTTCTAGAGTGCTTTCAGAAACTTGATGTAAATTGGTTAAAGTTGCAACACAACCTCAATGAGTGTCTAGAATTTCTTGTATGCTCGCTGCTGACAGCTGATAAATGCAGTTAGAAGTGGTCCTTGTTTGTATGAGGATTGGCAAAAGTTAGCCTAACTGATTCTGGTACTGAACATATTAATAGTTAATTCTCCTGCTTTCTGTACCGTGTTTCACCTTGGACTTCATCTAAGTATTCAGTGACAGTAAAGAGAAGACGTCTCTCAGTTCTGCAATGAAACAAAAGTATTCCGTTGACTTTTATAAGAAAGCGACTCTCAGTAGTCTCTGGTCTTCTAGTTACCGTGAATCTGTCAGGGCCAGGGGGAGGGAAGCCAGAGACTCAGCAGTCTGCAAAATTTCCTTGATGTGATGAAGTTCCCTGTCAGAGTTTTGGAAACCTGAACCAACAGATGAAACTTATGCCATCTGTGTTGTCATTTCTAGAGACAGCAGTATTTTAACTCTCTGAAGTTTAACAGCCAGCTACATTGTTAGTTCCCTGCATTCCCTGAATGTCAATAGAGAGACACTTCTAAACAAATACTAGTGTTAATGAAAGATGGAACTTCTTTTATTCCTTTCTGTTGAATTCCATGTCACATTTTCATAACACAACCTTTATTGAATATTTTTGTCAGCGTAAAAAAAAAATCTCTGAAATATTTTAAAGGACTAGTAACCACCATTTCTTGTAACAGAACACTTTCTGATTGTCTTTACTTCTCAATTATGTTTTAGCTTCACTGCCTGGTAAATAAATAATTTACAAGGATATGTTTTTAAAAAAATTATTTTGTAATTATTTTGTATGCACAGTGCAGTGTCAGCTGTGACTGGGTGCAAGAGAAGCTTCAGCTCACATGTCGGTCGATACCTAAAGTATTCATTTAGGGTTTGTTTGGTTTGGTTTTTGGTTTGTGTTTGTTTTTGGGTGGTTTTTTTTTATGATTCCTTATTAGCAGGTTCTGTATATGCCATCTGTTGCTCATATTGTGCATTTTACTTTCAGGGGTTTACCCACCTCAGTTTATAAAAAGGATCAGGGATGCTAACATCAATTTTTTTACCTTTTTTTTTAAATTTTCTTGGAAACAGCAGAGTCTGACTGGTTTGGATCCATCATTGTATAAGGAAACAGGGGTAACTGAGTTTATAGAATTTTTATTGTTGGGACTCTTTTAATAACAGACTTCACTTTGTCTTGTGGCCACGTACTGTTTGGGGTATAGCAGAAAGTTTATAATGTGTAAGAAACATAAAAGAGTGTGAACTCAGAAGATGGACTTGTTGTATCGGTTAAAAAAACCCTTCAGTTCTTCAGCTGAGAGAGATTAATCCTGTATAGAGTTTATTAGCAGCTGGCAAGGATGATGACAGTAGCTAATGTTAGAGCTCAGTTGCAGTAAAAAATAACTGCTGGAATAGCCACTTAAATAGCATATCTGTTCTCTCTGTCTCCAAATTGTAACTGCCAGTAAATCAAACAAGCGCTATTTAACTTCATATAGCACTGTTGAACCAAAACATGAAATAGCCCACAATTGCCTTCTGAGACTTGTGCCTCTGATTTGTAAGCAGGAAATGTCTAAGTTAAAGAGCTCTTCTGAGAATGGAGTTTGTAGTTGATAGATGCAGATTCATTTGAAAACAAGGGATAGTGAGCAGCAAGTCCAAAGCATCAATTAGCTTTGTTCAGATCATGTTCATCTTTAAGTATTTTCTATAGATACATCTGTATGAGCACGTTAGTTTAAATCAGAGGCATGCTTTTGAAGCAAATCTCTAGGTTGTTCTTGCTGACTCAGCTTTGGTTCGTGTTGTGGAGCAGAGTCAGCATGTGAACTGGATTCTTTTCAGATGAAACGGAACTGGAAGATGTGCTTTAGCAGCATGCAAAATATACCCCAAACACAAATGGGCTTCCAGTTTTTCAAAGTAGAATAGAACTTGTTATGAAAGTTTAAAAGCAAAAAGGAAACACAAACCTGTGAATGTCCAGTTCTTGGCACCAGCTGTTTTACTGTGCAGATTCCCATACTGCTTCACATTCCTTGCATATGTAGCCTATGTGATGTCAGTTTCGTAACTCAAATGTTCATAAATTCTTTTTGTCTGATGTTTTGGCATATTTGAAAAATATTTTTTTTAAATTACTGAAATTATATAGAACTTTTAATGTAGTGCTAAATAACAGAAAGCAAACGTTTCTTACCAAGAAATTATCATGTTAACCGCAATTAACCCATTTCTCACATTTCAAATCCTTGTCTTAATTTGGGTCCAGTAGAGGGAGACAGACTCATATTTGTCAGTTTTTTGTATTTCCCTATCAGCAACTCAAGATTACTGGTGAAGTGTCTGATCTATTTCAAAGCAAAATGAAAAGTTACAGAACAAGGAAAGTTTTATAAAGTCCTAATAGCCTCAGACTAGGCAGGATGACTTCCTTATATCTTGTTACAGCCCATTCATTATTTTTGGTATGGCATGTGTGTCTCATAAAATACTTTATAGAGTCTCTTCAGATGTGGGTTCTTTGAACTTTTATGTAGTTAGAATGTCTGCATAATTGTAGTGGTGGTGGTGATGATAGTGGTTTTTCTTTGGAACAGTCTAACCGTAAAACTCTTCAGCTCTGTATTATTCATCAATTTAAAATAACTTAGTTAATTACAGTAGTTGTGACTAGAATAGAAGATACCCAGATACTGTGATGATTGCTCAACTGTCTGAAAACCAACAAAGTAAGGATGTGATTGTTGGCTATTTTGAAATAGTTTTAAATTTGTATTATAGCAGATTCTAAATTTTATCTAGCTCACCTTTTGCTATTAACTTGAAAAATATTCTAAATGATACATTAACCTTTTCTTAATTTTATGAGGTTCTAACACAATACCTGATAATTTGTTATTTTTAACTTGGTTGCTAGAAATTTAAAGTTTTTATGAAGTTACTTTTTTTCATCCTGTCTTTTTCCTTACTTTCAGGGCTTTTCTGATGTTATAAAAATTGTGTAAAACTCACTGTTTTGTGTCACTGATCTTTAGTTTCAGAAAATGAACTGTTTCTCTGACTTCAGTGTAGGGGATCAAATTAAGCAAATCACCTCTTTGGGGGAGAGACGAGAGAAAGGATACTGATGTTTGCTTCAAGAACTAATAATAATGGACAGAAAGAAAATAATTTCTTAGGGTTTAATAAACTACTTTGCAGGTCAGAACTTAGGCTGAACTTCCGCTCTGATGACACAGGATGAATATTCTCACTTAACATTGAAGAAGAGAACGATAATTGATCTTTCTACTTTTGAAAGGGAAAAATTACCATTAAATGTATTGTAGCCTAATAATATGTTACATTCTTGTGGCAGTAATGCAGCAGACTCCTGAGTGTATATGGCCGTTGATTTGTGTACTGAAACCATTCTAAACAATTTCTTGTAGGGTTGAGGATTAAAGAGACCAAGGAGGTTTATGAAGGAGAAGTCACAGAACTAACTCCATGTGAGACTGAAAATCCTATGGGGGGGTATGGCAAAACCATCAGCCACGTAATTATAGGGCTTAAAACTGCAAAGGGAACCAAACAGTTGAAGGTATGTATGGTAGAGTCTCAACAATTTCCATAAGTATTTCAGGTCTGCATCTTCCATTTTAGCACTTCTTATTTCCATTTCAAGTTCTTGATCCTCATCTCTGTAGAATGGGGATGCCAGGACGCTGTTTTCTTTTGGTAGACAACTTTATCCCGCTCCTGAGCGTGTATGTTTATCTGCTTTGTGCAGAATATTTAGATGTTAGTCTTGTCTCCCACTAATTGAAATCGGGGATAAACCCATTGCTTACTTAGCAGCCCCTGTTATTTTTCTGTTTGTCAACACACACTTCTATGTCTTCAATCCGTTAAAAGGAGAGTTTAAGCAGGAAGAGATCCTCATGCAGTTTTGCAGCATTAATAGTACCGCACAAAAACGGGCTGAATTGGGAATCTGAACTACGATCTGTCTCAGTCCGTTATATGCTCACACTGACCGTGGCTATAAATTCATATTCATGATAACAAACGTACGAGAAAGGTCTTGTTTGGTTTTGTTTTTCTGATTCTCCACTGATTTTTTTTTTGAGGATGGTTTTGGGAAATCTTGCCTGCTTTGGTATAAATTGTTCTTTCTGTCATATCCCTTCTTTCTACATGCAGAGGTATACTCTAGTGAATGTTTGATTTGAACTGGAAATGGAGCTGGTATGTTGCCAGCTCAGACCCACTTTCTCTTTGTTTTCTTGTACAAGTCTTTGTCCATGTTGTTCAATTTCCCTGTCAGTTAGAGTACTAGAGAAGTGAAAGCTGTCTCTCTTGTTAAGTATCATCTTGCATTTGTCCACTCTGAAAATACGAAAATGCAGAGCAAAAGTGAATAAACATGTACTGAGGGAAACAAAAGCACCTAACGAATTCCACATCCATTCTCCCTCACGCAGTTCCGCAGAGGAAAGACTCAAGAAATCAAGTAGCATAATTCAATGCTGTAGTCAGATTTTTTATAAAAGTTTTGCTAGAAAGCCAGAGAAGTGCTGCTTCCTAGATACAAATATATTGTCACATTACAGAAAGGCATATTTTGTGATAGTAACTGGTATCATTATCATTGTGTTTCGGCACTTACCATCACTTCCTTCAGATAGCAGATTTTTTTCGTAAGAAAGTAAATTTTGTGCATCTTCTTTCACATTTATTTTCTGTCACTAGTCCAAGTGTTACAGCTTTATAAAATCCTAGAGGAATTGTTGGGGGGAGTTGCAGTTTAATTTTGTTTAGTGGGAGTGAGCTTTAGACTAAATTTCTTTTCCTTGATTATCATAACAATATGGAACTGTTTTGACCGACTGTGATGTTTGCTTGTCTCCAGCTGGACCCAAGCATATTTGAAAGCTTGCAGAAGGAGCGAGTGGAAACTGGTGATGTTATTTATATTGAAGCAAACAGTGGAGCCGTCAAGGTAAAAGAAAAGTTCTGCACTTGTATGCAGGTGTATGTATTCTTGCAGACCTTTCTCTGCTGTTTTCAGAAGGCTCTCCAATTTATTAACATTAACTGACATGAAATGGTTACATGGAAGTTTAAAGAGTCCAGTGTTTTCCTTATCTGGAGAGAAAATTCTCTGTTGCACTGAAAGAACGTGGTCACCTGGTTCACAACTAAGGTCGTCTGGCAAGGAAGCTATCACTGATGCTGTCTGGATGAGTTTTCCTTTCTGTAAGATCAAGACATCTTTAAGCGAAGAGGGGAAAAACCAAGCAACTTTAGTCATTTTCAGGCTGACATGTGCAGTGTATTTAATCTTTCTTTTATCGGTCTGGTATTTTCTCCACAAGATATATACATGTAGAAGGGAATACTGCATTAGTTAGCATTCTTTTCATATCTGATTTAGAAAGTAGTGTACAGTGATACTTGCTGTTTAATGGATGAGCATAATATTTTGTATCATATAATAAATCACCCACCTACAAAGGAGTCTTGAACAGTTCTCCCAATCTCTAGTTAATCTGCTGGATTTGTCCTTTAGCAAGAATTGCATACGGTTAGAAGAAGGGGAGAGAGGAGTGTAATATTCTTACCACTGAAAATAGCAGGTGTTTTTCAACAGAGTTGTTGAGCTTTGATCAGTAGATAGCATATGCCTGTTGCTAAGCAGGGAGTGGGATGTCTGAATTGTCAGCCGAAGCTTGTCAGGACTGGAATTGTGAACTAAGCCCTTTATCAAGTTCATGTCACTCAAGGTTTTGGCACTGAAACTAATTCTATACCTGGGTTGCTCTTCTTCCCTTTTTCTCAGAGGCAAGGCAGGTGTGATATCTATGCTACGGAATTTGACCTTGAAGCGGAAGAGTATGTTCCCTTGCCAAAGGGTGATGTGCACAAGAAAAAGGAAATTATTCAGGATGTCACCCTGCATGACTTGGATGTGGCCAATGCTCGACCTCAGGTATCTTATTCCACAGATTAAGTCTTTACAGAAGAATTGTTTGACATATATGTGATGGTTATTAGAATAATCAAGGAGATGTGGAAAGCTTTGAACTGTCCTAAATCACCCTCAAAGATTCCATTATAGGAAAAGCAGTAGGTGTTACTCTTTGAAGGCCAATCTACCTCTCCTCCCTGGAGGGAGGTCATGCGGCAGCTGGCTACCCCAGTGGCCCTGCCATACAGGTTAAAGAGGCAGTTGCTAGGTTAGGATTCATGGAATATTTATCAGAGTACATCTCCTAACACTACAGAGAACGGCCTTACAGCCACAGCAGAGCTTCCACATGGATTTTTGACACCTTCACAGTTAATGTGTAATCTAGACCTAGCTCTCCCGTTCCTTCCACCACTGTGCCCATCCCCTGCGGTAAAAGAGCAGCGTGGGCTGCTCCTCTTGATCAGGAAAAGAGGTTGTTACTTTCTTTCCAGAAGGAAAGTTGGCTACAGATGTGAGGTAGCAGCAAACAGATCCACATCATTTTATGTATCAAAAGTTCTGAATAGAGATTACTTTATTCTGCTCTGTGTTTGTGGTTTTCTGGCCATGAAATGGAAACTGCAAGCACTATCGTAAAAGGTCAGTAAGTATTTTTGACTGCTACGGATTCTGTTGATGTCTTTCCTTCCTTTAGAAATGTTTCATAACCTCTTGTTAAGGTTCCTTGTGACTTCCAGTAGAACTCTGAACATATTGCAGCAAAAAAACTGCAAGTAGGAGAATTACTCCTTGCTGTATCTTAATATAAACCCGGTATTGAGGGATTTCCATCTATGTCATAAATAAAAGCCATGAACAATACAATACTTCTGTTTAAAGGCTGGCATCCCTACAGTATGATACTACAAGCCCTTAACCTGTTCCATTCATTTGGTTAATGGTTGCACTTGATCTTCAAGGTCTCCTCCAACCTAAACGATTCTATGATTTCAAAATAAACATCCTTTTTTCCAACAAAATCATTTACATGATAAAAATCAAGGTGTTCAAACCTTAAAACTCAGCATAATTGTTCCTGCGTTTACAGGTTGAACACCTACTGTGCACACAGGCACTCCAGGTCTCTGTGTTCCCTGATGATGTTAGTCCTTATGAGCTTCTCTGTGACAATTTTTTTTTAAAGATGATATCTTATTTTGGCTTTTTATGCTCTCCAAATGAACGAGGCTAAAGAAAGGGTGAGGAGGTAACTGATGATGTTTAGAGTACTGTAGCAGTGACATGACCTAACCTTTGACAGATTATCAACCACTGCTGATATAAAGTTAACTGCAAGAAACAACTTCTTTAACCAATTCCCCATTTATAAAATTCTGAAGGCATGGGTTCACTACAAGACCTCACAGCTGATCTGTAACTTTCTTTTCGTAGGGTGGGCAAGACATCCTTTCTATGATGGGACAATTGATGAAGCCTAAGAAAACTGAAATTACTGGTATGAATCCTGCATGGTATTTTTAGACCAACATAACCTGTATGTTTGCCAGTTAGGAAAGAATTAAAAATTGGGTTATTCATGCAGTACCTCTAAACGAATGCTGATGTAATACTTATTCAGATTTCAAAAAGCAGTAATACAGCTGCTAGAATTGCAACGGCTGGTAACAGTACAACATGTTATTGGTTCACACATACAGTGATAAAATATATACTGTACTCTGCACTTATCTTCCTGGGGAGAAAGAGGTTAGAATGCTAGTGCCATCCCCCTTTCTCAAAACACTCCTCCCAGAGAGTGTGAGGTTCACACTTTGACAGAGAGCTAAACTGAACAATTACAAAAAAAAAATAATCTAAAAAACATCATTAGGATGCATGCTTATGTGAAGAAACCATACTGAATTTCAGTGGAATAATAAAATGGCTTCTAAAAACTCTATCCTTGGTTTGGTTTAGACACCTCAGTAGCAGCTGTCTGTTGACTTGGTGCTCTAACTGCAGTGCTGCTCTTCCTACCTACAGAACATTTGAGAAAAAAAGATCTACAGAAAGATCTGTTCTCCTTTTTTGCTTTGAAAGAAATGATGCTTCAGTAAGTGACTATCTAAATTTAGATCAAAATCTGTTTCAATACCTAACTCGAATGGCGGTCTTTTGAAGTATTTCATCTGTTCCAGAGGTCACTTTTTGCTTAGTCTGATGTCAGATTTATCAGTGTAACATCTTGCATAGCTTTGAGATCCGTATGTTCACAGAAATTTATATAGCCTTTTTTTTTTTTTGGTAAACACAACTTCTTTGCTGAAATACAGTAGCGATATGTTATTCTTTCAGTGATGTTGTTTTCAGCCATGCTTGGAAACTTTCGTGTTTTAAACTGAGGTTTGACTGACTTCCCCCACACCAAACTCCCCAAATCCACAAAAATCATAGTTTTTCACAAGCCATGTGAGGGGACAGACTACCCCAGTTAAGTGCGAGAAGTTAATTTTAGAAATATTTTGTTGCACACGTCTCCCCAGTACAGGACTGATTGCCACAGAATTTTAGCGTCACAGATTTTCACTGTGGCGGTAAGATACCACACCATGAAAAAACCTCAAGGTGAATTTTACTTGCTTTCAGCCTTTCATACAGGCCTATAGTTCACTAGCAGAACAACTAACAGTTTCTTTTTGTTCTCAGACAAACTTCGAGGAGAGATAAATAAGGTGGTAAATAAATATATCGATCAAGGCATCGCAGAGCTAGTCCCAGGTGTACTCTTTGTGGATGAGGTTCACATGCTGGATATTGAATGTTTCACATACCTGCATCGAGCACTGGAATCTTCTATTGCCCCCATTGTCATCTTTGCTTCCAATCGAGGAAACTGTGTTATCAGGTATGATGTCTAAACTTGAATTTTCCAGTTTGCATTGGTCCATAAACGTTGGAATTAGCTGTTTCAGTAGAGTTATAATCTTTGAAGGCTTTTGTGTCTGACACTGACACCTGTGATAATCCCCTGCATGGGTTGCCAGCTGCATCAGTGCTCAAAAACTGCTCCTGAGCTTCATGATGTGACAACCATTTAATGCCAGGCTGACTGAGTTAAAGCAGAATGGAATTCTTCCTTTTATTTCCACTGACACATCCTGCTTTCTCTAACAGCTTCTGAATTGTCTTACTTCCTGGGTGATCTGTAACAATTATCTTTCTCATTGGATACCTCAACACATCTGTTGCTTGCACATTAGGGACATCAAAAGCACCAGGGCTACAAACTTCTGATATAGTTTCCTGCTTCTTCTGGATTACTGTGGTGTTTGCTATCCTCATTGCAACAGGCTTAAGCTTCCTGTTCTTACTCTTAAAGCATGTCACATTTCACCCTCTCCCTACCCTTCATTATTTCCTACTGTGTTGGTCTGGCTTCTTGTTATTCTTTGGTCTTGCCAACTAACTTGTTTTTCATCTCTGCTCCAGTTCGTGCCTCTGCTTCAATATTTTGCAGCCACACAATGCATTCTTCACATGTTCAGTTAAAGTGCTCTCCTCTTTCAAATTCTCCCTTAAGTTCTATTGCTAATTTGTGGTCTAGGTCTAATTATGTCTAAACAAGCTGTCATTAGCAATGATTGCTACTCTTTAAATTGATTTAGTTCAGCTGTGTAACCAGCTATTCCTTTCCCTCTTAGTGGCTCATTTGGTATTAATCTTTCTCTGTTTGCATTGCTTAGAAGTGAAGGTGATAAGCCCTTCGAAAATGCTCAAGGTGGACATTGCAGCGCTCTCTTTGCAAAGGCGTAACAAGGCTGTCTTGTAAAAGTAGAGCAAATAGAGATCTGTCAGTACGGATTCACTGCAGATCTTGGTATGAAAAAACTTGGAGAAAGGAAGATTTCCACACAATAGTTCTATCTAACATTGGTAAATTAAGTCCTTCAAAGCAAGGTCTTAACTGTGCGCTACTATTCCAGCTAGTTCGAAATGCTCCGATTTGTTTGATGATGGATCTTAAAAGGGTTAGGGAAAAAGTGATTGTATAGGATAGTTGATTCTGTAACCTCGTAAGAGACGGAATCACTTCAGAAGAGACAACACCATCTACTCTTGAGTACAGCAGATGACTGAAGGGCATTTTGATTCATTCCAAAGGAGGACCAAAGCTGCAGTGCCCAAATACTGCTACTGAGCTAGGGAACGTAGTTCTCTAGCAGCACTTTACTGTTTTTTCCTGCAATCTCTATAGATCTTGTGAAATCTGGGTATCTTTCACTCTCGACTTCACAGCAAATCGTGGTGGTCTTGGAAAACCAAGAGTAGATGTGTCTTCAGCCTTTGCTGTTGGGTGTTGTGTGTCAAACAAATAAAATGGTTGGGGGTCTAGATCCCACTTCATGCACAGACCTCCTCAAGTTGCTGGATTGCAAGCATGGAATGTTAAACACTGCCGTATTCACTGAAGGGACTAGGGGATGTATTGAGCAGAGTAATGGCTTGCTCGGCAAGAGGGGGTGTTGCCAAATGGCTGTGCTGATACTGCTGAACAGCTTAGCAAGAATGATTTGTTGCTTGCTGGAAGATACCTTGGAACGTTAGATAAGACTATTGTAAGACACAATGCAGGAAAGCACCACCTCTACTATTTTTGAGTGGCGTGTTCAGGAGCTCCAGAAATAGTATTTGTTTCCCTCAGGTGGTCCAGTATGAACTTCAGACTGGAATGTTTCCTGTCTCTGTCTGGGGAGTGTGTCTCTGTGGGAAGACACAAGAATGGTAAACTAGAAGATGTGTCGTCGCTTATTACTGATTTTAGTCAGAGCAGTGTACTGAACACAGAATAGGAGCTGATTTCTTTCTGTTTGGTTTCTCCTTTAGAGGCACAGAGGATGTAGTGTCTCCTCATGGAATACCTCTGGACCTGCTGGATAGAGTAATGATTATCCGAACTATGCTGTATACACCCCAAGAAATGAAGCAGGTACGCACAGCATTTTAAGAGAACGTGTAAAACATCCCCAGAGTTCTAGTCTATTGGGGTGACTGCTATGTTTCTGCATATTCTGTTACTGTAGAGCTGTTTGACTCTTTGTGGTCACCAGGGTTTGTGCCAGAAAGCTTACCACTTTCTAAGTGTGTGCTGCTTTGGTAACCATTTATAATAAGCTGGTTAAAATTCTGCATGCAATTTCTCAGTCTGATTTCCACCCACTGATGAGTTGTATTGGTAAGCATATCTAGAGCTGAAAGTGACATCTCGCTCGCATGAAATAGCATGAATTGTTACCTGACCTTATGTCTTGCACAGGTAACGCTTTCCATAGAGTTTGCAAGTTCCAGCAGTTAGTGCTTTTTCAGTTGGTGTGAGGTGAAGCGTCACATTTTGGGACCTTTGGTCCCAGACCTCAGGCTGTTCCTCCACGTAAGAGGTGAGAGAGACTGAGGAACGCAGCTTTGTGCACTGCATTTTTGCCTCTGTGCCTATACTACAGTTTAAACCTACTAAGGCTCTCTCCTGAAACTGGGAGGATTTTCATGCTTCTAGTCAAATTTGGAAATGTAAGCACAGTAAGTGTTGCAGAGATATGCTCTTCTGAATGCCTGAAACTTTTCCTGTGGGGCCATCACAATTGTATTATGTATCGATTATAATGCTTGGGTGCCATTATGATGCATATGATGCATCGTGTCAAAGATCCCCCTCATTAGCGTCTCAATGCTGTGAAGTAACACAATGCAGAAGACATTACGGTTTATCATGTCAATTCTTTGTATTATTTAAGAGATAGTGTCAATGGAGGAGAGCATTGTCACGAGATAATAGTCTCCTGCTGCTGGATAAGTGCCAAGGTGAAGCCGAGGCATTTATCGAATATAAACGTAGAGGCAAAGCTTCATTTCACTTGGTTTGAGGAGCTTTTCACATAGGGCTGTCATGAGCCATTCTCAGGATGATTTTTTTATACCTAAAAGGACACTTTAAAACATTGTGATACAGATTACAGTAGAAGCAGCCCGGTGATATAATAATATGATAATGTTTGTCTGTATACAAAACAAATTTTGAAGTGTGACTTTTACTCAGTCTGGAGATGTTAAAGACTGTTGTCTGGACTTCTCTGTACTGTATGTGAATTTTGTGTAGTTAGGGTAGTAGGAGTACATATTCTGAGCTACCTTTTGTTAAGGTTGCTGTGTATAATACCTGCTGTATTATCATGCAGATAATACATTCTTAAAGAGCTCGTTTCTGAACTGTTGATTTTTCAGAAGAGCTAGGTAAGTGCTGCAATTTCCACTCTCCCGAGGGCTGAGGGAAAGGAAGTGTTTACAATAGCGTTTCCTAAAGCTAGAAATAGAGTCAAGACATAATGTCCCATAAATCATGTTCCCATAGTCAGATAATCTCATCTTCCCTTGAATTAGGGTTTTGGAATTACTTCTTTTGGGAGAAGAGGAACAGCTATTACGCTTAACTTTAGTTTCGAACTAAATAGGATTGGAGGGGCTTTAAAAATAAGACATCCATAAATTTGTTTATGTTTGCTCCTATTTTTCTTTCATGCTAGGAAGAAGTTTTCACTGCTTATGTTTCTGTGTGAGACTGTTTGCCTTGGGCTTTCACAATCGATTTATCAGCACAAGAATTGTCCACATATCTACTGAAAGTTTGTTCATAACCAGTTCAAAATATTTCTCTTTGTGTTGATGAAGTAGAAATCCCATTGTGTAGAACTGCTCTGAGAACAAGACCCAGAGTTAACTTAGTGCAACCAGAATAGGAAAAAAATCACTTTTACACATATTCTGGTCAGGTATTGTTGTAATCAGACTGTTTTGCATATGTGCCTGCTGTTAGATAGTAGAGGTTATAACTGAGACTTTTTGTTCCTAATGTATTTTACCTGATAAACACTCCTTTTCCTATTTCAGAGCAGCCTGCTTATTTATGTACTTGCTGGGTTAATGGCTTGGGCCACGATCCTTCAGTAACCTTCTACCAAGCTGCTAGATAAAAAGTTATTTCAAAAAAGGTTGTTAAAGATGTGGCCTTTAAGATACCTTGTTTCTAGCAGGCAAAGAATAAAGTGGCAGTATTTGAATGAAGGGAAGGTGATGTTCAGGTGATCTAAAAGCTAGAAAAAATATTCAGTCTGAAATTGCAATTTGCAGCAGCATTGCCAATATTCAGTATTAATATCTTAGCACAACTCCCTGCTGTTTCAAGCCCCTCTCTTTTACTCTGTTCCCTACCCTGACTCCCCTAGCGCATTTTTATGGCTTTAATTTAAACGAGTGCTTCTTGATATCTTGTTTACAAAGCTGCCAAAGTGAAAAATACCTGTATTATATGAGGCTTGCAGTTCCAGAGTTATCTCAGCACTACAACACAACATCATTATCCAGTCTGCCCCTTATCACTCAGCTGGTAATACAGACTACCAAGAGACTTGTGCCACTTTTGTTACAGCTTTATATGCTCAGGCTTATTGGTGATATCTTGCTCTCCAACTTTGTAAAGATCTTCAAACTGGTACAAGCCTGAGACTGTTCTTGAAAGATTAGATTCTTCGTAGTGATTTTTTTTTCTTCTTGCAGGAATAGGTGAATCATAGAAAGTAACTTTTTGATTTATTTTACTATCTTCTTGTCAATTGAATAAAAAGTGTGTTGCGAGCTGCTAAGGAAAGGGCATAGCTTTCCGTAGGGCTTTTTGGAGGCCTCCACTGTATAGTGGCAATGATACGCTGCAAGATTTAGTAACTGGGGTAGCTGTTCACAAGACTCCAGCTGTCACTTCCTGCATACTTTTTCTGTTTTCTTGTGTAAGTTCTCACATTCTGCTCCTTATTAGTACCAACACTTTGCTAACCATGTAGAATTATCATGAAGGGTTAGTAGTCCAGATGTGTTACTTTACCTGCCTTTTGCGATAATCAGTTTTTTAACATTATATTTACCTCTTCAATGACTTAGAATCCTACAAATTCAGGTTTAGTGGTGACACCAGGCTAGCTCTCCACACCATTAGTATGTCTCATCTCTAAGCTGACAGAGTGTCCGGGCACTAAGCTAAGTAGTTTAGGATGCTAATTGTTTTGGCTGGTACCTCACTTACTCATTTGTCCCGACAGATCATAAAACTTCGTGCTCAGACAGAAGGAATTAATATTAGTGAAGAAGCTCTAAACCATTTAGGGGAAATCGGTACCAAGACAACCTTAAGGTAAGTTGAACACAGTTGGCTTTTCTCTGAAGTATGACTGGGTCTGAAACCACTGTGGGATAACTCACTCTTGGAAGTGAGACAACCCTCTCCCGTACAATTATGTGGTCTATTAAAAGCAGTGCTAACAGTAAAAAAGTGCTAATCCTCCTCTTTCCTCCTTTCAGGAATGTATGGGCTGGAGCGTCTTGCAGACTTTTTAGACTGTGATAGAGCTGTGTGTTTCCTAACAAATCTCCCACCCCTGCACATACTCAGTTCACTGGGATGTGCTGAATTGTAATTATTCATCCATCTCTGTTCAATCACAGGTATGCTGTGCAGTTACTGACCCCAGCTAACCTGCTCGCCAAGATTAATGGGAAAGACAGCATTGAGAAAGAGCATATTGAAGAAATAAATGAACTTTTCTACGATGCCAAATCCTCAGCAAAAATCTTGGCTGATCAACAGGAGAAGTACATGAAATGAAGAGCTTATCATGTTAGATGCTTTGAAGTGGCTTTAATCCTTGCCCAGGGCTGGTTTAATTATTGAATGAGAAACGTTGATGGTTTGTCTCTTTTGGGACTGAGAAATATTTAAAAGTTGGACTGCTTTGTCAGGCCAGAATTAACTATCAAGTGTTCCTATTTCATTATCAACAATAAGATGCTCCATCTATGATGTCTGTGTAACATCTTAGTCTCCCTTTTATGAGTATATATGTGAAATGAATAGTTCCTGACCCATGAGTTTTGTCTTTAGATTTCATTACAGAAGAGCTCTAACTGAAGCTGATGCTTAAGAACAGTCTATTTCCTTTATGAATGTTGTTTTAAAATAGTTTCCTTTTACAGATGAGTACTTTTTTTTTTTTGAGTCAAAGTTTGTCTGAAGTGCTTTATAATAAAATATTTCAAGAATATTGGAAGCTTGCATGTGTTTGCCCTGGGTGTTGACCTGCCTAAAGAACCAGTCAAAATAAGTTGGAATTAACAAAGCCAAATGTGAGTAAAATGGATTGGCAACACAAAAATAGATCTACTGCAAAGAAAGGAAATAGTAATGGGACATTTTAAAGTGTTTACTCTTTAGTAGGTCTTGCTTTTTATTTCCTGAAGAATTCTTTGGAGAATGCAGAAATACATAATAGTAATTATCTCAGCCATATTTGAAGTCTTTCTTCCAGAGTAATTTATCCTTTCTTGTGTTTTCTTAAAGCAGATTAAATAAAAATTGCTTTCCATCATGGTTAGCTATTTTTTCCACTATGTTCTGTCCCCACTTTCTTGATCACCCAGGATCAGAAAAAAATTGCAAACTAAAAAAATGTATAAATATTTGTACATAAAAATGAAAGTTAGCAGAACAATAGTGAAAAGAATAACCCAGTAATTAGGTTTGAAATCCTTCTCTGCACAGACTTCGCATGAACTTAGTGTTAGTCGCTTGTTCACAAAATACGCTTCCTTGTTTTGTAAAGCACAGACACTTGATTGCTTCACAGCACTCTGAGGAGAAATGATTTAAAGATTAAGATCCTTGTAACACAGAAATACGAATCTATGTAACCACGTAAATGGGTGGCCTAGGAAAAAAGTGTAGAAGCTTTATAAAGTGACTACCCTCACATTCATTATTAGAACCTTTAGTGATTTAGAATACTTTATGTACACTTACTTACATAAGGTAGTTCTTAGGGTAGGGTGGGAATAAAGGAAATAACTTGTCACAGGAACTCAGTTTTAAATACCCTTTTTAGCAGCTGCAAACTGGAGAAGATAAGTTTTCAATTAATACTTTAACTCATCAAAACTTTTAATCCATGTTCCCAAATGAGAACTTTCTGACAAGTACCAAATGTACAGCTCGTAAGCCTTGCACGGATCCTTCACAGGAAGTCATTGGTTCCTCACATCAGGAGAATCTCAGTAGTACTACATTAGGCAGACACTGGCAATTGCTTTTTTTGGGGGGAGGGAAGGTTTGGAGTTTTTCTTTAAAGGTAAAAAGCACCTCTTATTAATTTTGCTTTCCCAAGAGATTTTCTTGTAAGACTTCCTGGTAGTTAGAGAAGCTAAAATGATCACAGAGCCACAGCATGCACATTTATATAAAATATATTTCCATGGCCTAATTGCTATGTATCAAATGTAACAAAGCTTCCTTGTTAAATCGTAGAATTCTGACTTCCAACACTAACGTGTAAGCTCAGTCATCGTCTTCCTGGGGAAGGAATCCAGCTGCTAAAAACCTCTGTCCTCGCCCCCGTATGCTTTAGAGGCTTGTCTCTTCCTTGCGCTGCAGTACTGTTTGCGGAGCTCGCTAACAATTTTTCAGCTCCAAAAAACGTGGACTGGACAGCAGAGACTGCTGAGGGGGAGAAAAGAAGAACTGGAAGGCAACTGGGTGGTTTGTATTTAATAATGTTCCCATTCTGCCTTCTCAGTCATGTAAAAACCTGTCCCATTCGTCAAAGTAAAATTCAGTACTCTGCCAGCCAACCCTAATTAGCTTTTGTACTTTAAATAATCTATCTACTCCTTTCTCTACATCTGCAACTGAACAGTAGTGACAAAGATATTTAATGAATGATTTTTGGTTTATCTGTGAATATTTTTGGCCAAGGAGCAATCCTGCTTTCAAACCTAAAAACCCTCTCTCTTACTGACTCCAAATGAATAAAGATTGCAACTACACCATCAGATTAATTTCCACAGTGCTTCCAAAATCTCTTTACTACGGCAGGATGGCATGTTCAGTTGTAGTGCAATGGCACGATGGAGAGAGACCCAGTGAGCTAAGCTGCTGCATGGTCAAAATCGAACCTTTTTTTCTCCTGTTACAGTTTGAAAATCCTTGGTGATGAAGAATGTAGTTATTTAAGAACATAAGTACCACTTTTCTTTGAGTTTTCTGAAATATCGAACAATTTAGAAAGAAGTTTGAATAAGCCCTAAATAATTCTGAATGCCAGAGCCGTTTGAAGTCCCAATCAATGTTTGATGGCATTGGCTTTTTACTGATCAATTCGGCTCCATTCACACTGCAGCCAAAGACCTGCTGGGGCAGTGAGGGGCCTCCTGGAACCCTGAAACCTGAAGAGCCCCGCTCCCACTGCCTACCAGCAGCAGAAGGCAGAAACTCCTGTGTCTCCTTTGGCAAACCAATGACTTCTTTGCCTACAAAGCGTTCTTCATCAAAATTCAAGCTCTGTAAAACTGGGGAGAAATATCTGTTCTCACAAGTAGTAAAACAAGTAAAACAAGTGATCCATCCTGACATCTGCCAAGTTAGTGGCAGCCACTGCTCTGCGGCAGAGTGGTGGCTGGTACCAAACAATCCCCAGAAAGGAGGAAGAACCCTTCTAATGGGCAACAGCGGAATTAGGTGCAGGATGTGCTCAGGAAGGGTTGTCACTGCCTCCCGCCGAGCTCCTCCCAAGCCCTCGGTGCTGCTGCTGCAGGGCTTGGCTCGGTGCACACCAGCTCGTGACGAGAAGGGCCTCACTTTTCCATCCCGCACGTTAGTGTTCGTATAGCAGCAAATGAGCCCCGGCCTCGTGTCTGGCCGTGCACCAGTTCTGGAGAGCGCTCTCCCAAGGGTGCCATCTCTCTAATGGCCATGAAGTGTCTATGAAAGACGTAAAGTGTGATATAAAGGGAAAATCCTTCTACGCTAAATGGTGAGCAAATGTTTATCTAGCCTATTAAGTGACGTCCAGCAGACTTATTGGTGTCAAAGCTTTGCCCATGAAAATAGTCTTTCATATTACCGATAAAAATAGTTCTGTTGAAAGAATCACTGCACCATATACAATAGCTACTGATGAAGGATCTTTAAAATAAAAAAAAAAAAAAAAAATGTTTATTGAAAAAAAAAAAGAAATGTTTATTGGACACAAAGCTGCCCCTTGAAGTGGGAAGGCACACGCAGCAAGGAACATTCCCACCAAATAAGTCTGGTTATTAATATTAAAAGTGAAAGAACAAACTATTATTTTAATTCTTTTCTTCCTATTTTCCGCAAAGGTTGCACTTCATGCATTAATCTTCTAAGCGAAGTTTTTACGACCGATTGCCTGCACACTATGAGAAGTTTCTCCATCCATTACTCGCAGGGAAACGGGCCCTGCTGTGTAGGAAAATATTTGTTACATCTTATCAGGGTGACACATAATCTAACAACAATTACAGCAAGCCCATATTTTGTACTATTTCGGTTTCAACGTGAAAAATAGTTCTAATATTAAACCTGGAGTGGGTGGCGGTTACAGTAACCAGTTGAATATTATAAGCTGTGATTTCCTTTCAACGTGGAGCTGTGCCACACTCGGATCCTGCTCTGAGACAGTGGCTGCACATAAATCCAGTGTACGTGCTTCCTGTGCAGATGCCAGTGTGGTAGCGACTGAAAGTTGATTCCCCCTCTTTGTACATACCGAGGTCAGAAACTGCCGCATCTTTAGTTTTCAGGTGGCCAAAAGCATCTAAAATCCAGTTAAACTTTATGAGAAAAATGGGACATAGTCTGAAAACTGATCCCGCTAGGAGACCACCATTGTCAAGAAAACTCAAGATCACTCACATCCTAAAATCTTTCCACCTCAAAAATTGGCCCAGAAGTCCTCAATAGAAAAACTTCATGATTCCCTTCTTTGCGTTGTCCTTTACTGTTTGAAATTGGGGTACCAAAGAAGAACAGCACCAGGGTGCACACAGCAGCTCACGGTGCGGTGAGGGCTTTGCTGAGGGCCAGTGGGCATGAGACAAGCGTCGAACCTTGCTTTAGGGATGCGGGACGGCCAGGGGATGTGCTGGTGTTACACTAGCGACCTGTTTTAGACCCTGCGTCCCCAGCACCATGGCAGGGCCAGCAAAACACTCATCTGCAAAACCCTTCCTCTGTGCTGATGCCTGCACACGCACTCGGAGCGTGAGATACATCAGCGTTCCTCAGGCCCAGAAACACTCCAGAGAGGTGAAGATGACGATGCTTTTTTCCTATTTTGGCAGAGGATACCCCGGTAATCAAGAGTCATTACCAGAAGGAGTGTAAAATAAACTCCACTGTTCTTGTCCAGCCTCAGAGCACCCAGTAGCAAACATGAGCTTTTCCTGCCTAACATTTTGGTACCTTTAAAAGGAACAAATGCAAGTTCCCAGCTCTGTGTCAGTTCTGGGAGCCAGGTATAAACAGGCTTTGGGCTCTCAGTTCACTGTCCGTATCTCCTCTGCTGATTAATAGCTTTGGAGCCTGTGCATCCTTGTACATATTTTAGTTGTGCATGTCCAAACAAGTCATTAACACCAAGCAAAGAGACAGCACCAATATCCTGGGAGTGGGCAAAGTTACAATGGTATTATTTATTTAGTGGGAAGATTTTGATAAAGCAAGCAGGCTAGGGAAAGGGGAGTGGGCAAAGTTACAATGGTAGAATTTATTTAGTGGGAAGATTTTGATAAAGCAAGCAGGCTAGGTAAAGAGCAGGCTTTTTTTCCTTTAAACAATAAAAATTAAGAGCCAGTTTATTTGTATTGCAAACAATATTTTCATCAACCATCACCTGGGGTTTTTTGGGGTGCCAATTAAACATTTCCAAGGAGGAGATGACCTAGCACTGCTCACTCGACCTTGCAACTGTGCAGCCTGCACAGCTCTGCTGGGGTCCCAGCCTGAATTTACAAGCCAGGCGCCAGACCCACGGCTCTGGCTCTGCCACTGCCCCTCTCCGCTGGCTGACAGCCCCGCGACTCTGCCAGCAGCCAGCGGAGCCTGTGACGGTTTTCTAGTGTAAAACCAGGCAAACAAGGAGAAAAAGTAGAGACTTGAGCACGTTTCAGATCGGAAACTAGGCATAGGAAGGGGTGTGGGGATGGCAAGGAAGCAAAGAGCACGCTCACATCTGCCTCTCAACATCTGCAGCTGATG